GTATACAGGGTGTACACAGGGTGCATACAGGGTGTACACAGGGTGCATATAGGGTGTACACAGGGTGTACACATGGTGTATAAATCACATGTATAAATCAGTTCTGATCAAATGTCAGTGGTATTCAGTACTGATGCTTCAGTCATTTATCTCACTACTCATTAGTTTGATTAAAGCTCTAACACCTTTCATCAGTTTTAGTCTAAAACGATCTGATGTTGAGAAATCATGAAGGTGAAGCCGTTTACATCTGTACAAAGATCATCTGAATCTGTAGAGACTAATAAGAGCTTTAGCTCACATTCAGACACTGATGGGACACATCAGAGGCAGTGAGAGGTTCAGTGTCTTGCCCAGGGACACCTCAGCATGTGGTGGTGGAATCAAACCCCCAACTCTCCTACTGGAGGACGACTGCTCTAACCACTCTGCCACAGCTGCCCCAACACTCACTCAGGGTATGTATTGTGATGACACCTGTAGCAAATATGATGTTTTTAAGGTCAGCTGGCTGTGGCAGCCATCTTGAATAGTGTTGATTTCAGTCAATTATAGATCTATGATTACTTTCTGAAAGTTTCATTAAAATTCGTCTTCTGGTTCAGGAGATATTTTGCTAACAATGCAGACATTTGCCTTTGCCTTTTGGTAGCAGGTGATAAACATGAAAACAAAGTATAAACGTTAAAAGTTGTTTAATGATCTGCACATTCTGTGCGGCCTCTGACGTGAGCTGAGCACGACAGAAAAGGAGCAAAGAACGATTTGATTCAGTTTGAAGCATCGAGTCAGAGAACCAGTGAAACATCTGGATTCATGCAGTCATTAAAAGTGCAAACCATCCTCGACCGCTCTGACATGAAAACCACTGATTACCTTCACCTCAGTATTCAGAGCATGTGTTCTGTGATCAGTAGGGTCCAGAACGCCCCCCATGTGAGCCAGCTGGTGCTCTGAGCTGGATCTCATGACCAAACCTGATCTCCAATGAACTCTGACCTTCCGCAGTAATTCAGAGCGTGGGGTGATCTGCTGACAGCGCAGAGCACAGGACATGTTGCCGCAGCTCTGCTGGCCTCTGCTGGCCACATCTGGGCTCAGAGGAGGTCCCACTTGTTCGGGGGTCTCTTCTAATTTTTGCTGTTGCAATCAAGTTCTTCACTCACACACAAAACAATGATGTTTTTGCTCGTGTGTCTGTGTTGGTAAAATATCTCATGAACCAGTGGACAAACCATCAGTGAACATGAAAACATGGCCCAAATCCAGAAACTGTTGGCGGCCCACCTGTAGCATAGCTGGTGTGAGCGAGGGTGGAGGCAGCGAGGGGCTGCAGATGTTCATGGGGGAGAACTCCGACGTGGTGACCAGCAGAGCGGGCGGACTGAGCTGCAGGACCTTGGGTGCTTTGCGTGACTTTCCTTGGCCCGTGGTGCTGCTCACAGAGGAGGAGCTGGTGTCGGCGTCCATCAGACTGGTGTCATCTGCAGGCAGCTCCGACCCACTGTCCACCTGCTGACACAAACAGCACCTTCTGTCTCACTCGCTGCTTTCACACAGGCCACCCGAAAAATGCAGCGTTTTGTTCCTTTCAGTGTGACGGCACGGAGCAACTGCAGAAGCACATTTAAAAACAACTAATGACCAAGTTTTAGAATAATTAGACTTTACAAACAGAGTTTACTGTAGAATCCACAAAATGTGTTTCTGTTTGAACTTTTATAACTAATGGGGTGTTTTTCACGTTTGACATTTACAATGAAGGAGACTATTTTGGCTCCTGTAGCCTCCGCTGAAGAGAGGACACGTGGAGAGCAAAATGAAAACATGAATAAATTAAAGAGTTGAGGCTAACATTTGCTGCAGGTGTCTGAAATGATGACGTTTAACATGAAACACAAAGATTTTAGCAACACCCAGAAATTACCCACATCATTCACAGCAGCAGCAAAAACCTAACTAGTGTGCTGACTTTAGCCTCTTTTTGGGGGGTGCTCAAACTCACCTAAATTTTAACTCAGCACCCCTGAAAATTAAATACACCATCATTAGGATTGTGCAAGGAAACAGTTCCCAAACCTTAGATTCACCAAATATTGAATAAACGATGATCTTAAACAGGCTGGTAAAATCTCTGATTATGTTGCACGACTGGGATCCTTGACGCCACCTGTCAATCAACACAGCACTCGTTTTTATGCAGCTACAACCTGTTTTAGAAAACCATGGTATCTATGAAACATTTCAGTCTGGATTTAGAACCTGTCTTTGTACTGAATCAGCCCTGTTAAAAGTCCATAATGACATTTCCATGTCCATGGATGTCAAGTGTCCCGTTGTTCTGGTGCTGCTGGACCTCACAGCTGCGTTTGACACAGTGGACCACGCTGTCCTGTTGTCTCGTCTTCAACATTATGTTGGAGTATCTGGTACAACTCTCAAGTGGTTCACTGCCTATTTGACCAACAGAACGTTCTCTGTCATGTTGGATAATCTGTCTTCCTCCACCTCCTCTCTTGTGGTGTGCCACAGGGTTCTATTCTTGGTCCTGTCCTCTTCTCATTGTACATGCTGCCCCTTGGATCAGACATAATTTTTCTTTTCACTGCTATGCTGATGATGTATAAATTTATTTACCAATGAAACCTAAAAACAGTAACCTGATTGTATTGCCGACATTAAACAGTGGCTTCATCTTAATTTTTTGTTTTTAAACGAAGGAAAGACAGAATGCATCTTCTTTGGTGGTGATGCTCCCTGTAACTTTGGTGCTCTGACGTCTAAGTTCAGATCCACAGTTAAAAACTTGGGGGTGACATTTGACAAGGACTTAAAGTTTGATAAATATCCTCTGTAGTCGAGGCCAGTTTTTATCAGTTACGTCTCTTATCCAAAGTTAAGCCTTTTTTAAATCGTTCTGATTTGGAAAAGGCCATCCATGCTTTTATAACTTCAAGGCTCGACTACTACAGTTCCCTATGCAGGAATCTCCCAGTCCTCCATTAGACGCCTGCAATTGGTCCAAAATGCTGCAGCTCGACTTTTAACCAACACCTCCAGACGTGAGCACATCACCCCTGTTTTATTTTCTCTCCACTGGCTTCCAGTCGATTTTAGAATTAAATTTAAAATTTTATTATTCACTTTTAAAGCTCTCAATGGTCTTGCCCCACTATATTTGACTGATCTTGTAGCTGTCCGTGAATATAGGAGAACACTGAGATCATCCAATACATTTCTACTCTCTGTCCCAAAGTCCAACTACAAACGATGGGGTGACCGGGCCTTTTCTGTCGTTGCACCCAGACTCTGGAACCAGCAACCTCAGGACCTGCGCTCCATCACTGATATGGAGCATTTTAAATCTAATCTTAAAAACTTTTTATTCAGGCAGGCTTTTAATACCTAGTAGTTCTTTGACAATCTCACTATGTTTTAATAGTTTTTAATTTTAACTGGCTGATTTTTTAATTCCATTTTGGGTCACGGAGGTCGCTGGTGCCCATGTCCAGCAATCACTGTGTGAGGGGCGGGGGACACCCTGGACGCTGGCTTGACACCATTCAACAGGATACAAACCTGACATTTTCCAAAATAAAAGAAGCTGTATATGATCATCAAGGATGGAGAACATTGATCCAACGAGTGATCAAGAATCGAACACGACTGAACGGATACTAGTAGTAGTACTTGTAACTTCCGGTTGCATAAGTTTTATTGTTGTTTGCTATGATCCTTTAAAAGTCCTATTTGTGACTGAGCTCCTCGTTTACGGCCCTGAACTCGCCCAATCTCATCTGATCTCAGAAGCTAAGCAGGGTCGGACCTGGTTAGTACTTGGATGGAAGACTACTTGGGAACACCAGGTGCTGTAAGCCTTTGAACTGGTCACAAACCACACCATGGGGTGCGTTGTTCAAACCAAGAGCCATCATCAGTACTGGGGGCTAAGTACCCCTAAAGGTTAGATCCTAGAATTGCTCCTGGACTGAAGAATCAGATCACAACAGAAGATAACTTAATGTTAGCTTAGCACCTCAGCTAACTTACAACACGTCAGCAGAGGTGAGTTTGTTTTACCTGCATGTATTTAGTTTAACAGTTTTATGTATGAAATATGAAACTAATGTGGTTTTTAGGGTCATCTGCAACGCACCTTTAGAAAAGAACTGTTTCTTATATTTCATGAACAGACATGAGGGATTTCATTTAAATATATAAAAACACAGAAACAATAAATGATTCCTACAGTTCTGCAGAACTTTTCTGAAGTTTGTTTAAACTTATTAATACTTTTGACATTTCACTGTTTAATTGTTGAAATTTAAAAATTATCCACCTTATCAATAAAGACTAACTAAAGTTGCATTCGGGCCTAAAAAATCCGATCCAACCTGGCCCAAGCCCGTAGCCATTTTTTCCAAACCCAACCCGATTCGATCAAATTATCTGTAATTGCAGGCCCGAAACAAAAAAACATTGTCTTTATTAAGCTTTTACTGCTTTTGTACTGCAAATCAGTTTGACAAGATATTTTAAAAACTTATTTCAAAGAAATTAAGATATAAGATTTCTTGTTTCACTGAATGGATAACATACAAAACGAATAGCCTAAAAAATCAACTCTAAAGATAGACTATTATACAAATGAACAAAAATATTTTAGAGCAAAATGATTTGGAAAAATACAGAACAAGGTTAATTTAATTGAACGTGCTGTTCGCTTCGGCTTTTGTAGCTGCTGCTACTTCCTTCACTGCAGATGACAGCAGGTGTGGAGACGCGCGCAGCTGGTGATCAGCTGATCCATCCATCCATTATCTTTACCCACTTCTTCCTTTTCAGGTAGCGGGGGTCGCTGGTGCCCATGTCCAGTCATTCCTGTGCGAGAGGTGGGGGACGCCCTGGACAGGTCGCAAGTCCATTTCAACTGGCGGGTCAGCAGACGCGCAAGGCCGGTGACAGGTTGTCCATCTGAGCTTAACGCGACTTGTTTTACCTTTTTAAACTGGCCGGTTGGACCTGCCTCCTCCTCAACTAGTAGATTAACACAATTTTATATTGTGCTTTCTTATTTAGTTTTATTTGTGCTGTATGATTCGTAAAACTGCATCAAAGCAGGCCTAAACAGGTCTCTCTTGAAAATGAGTTCTCATGGCTCAATGAGACTACCTGGATAAATAAAGGGTAAATAAAAAAAATAAAAAAGCCTGAGACGGCCCGGTCCGCCCGTTAATCACATTATAACGGCCTGGACTGGCCCTAAATTGGGTTGGTTCGGGCCAGGTTTTGGGTTAGAAATGACAGGTCTAATAAAGACACCTTTTAGTAGGAGTGTCCTGCCCTGGTACTAGTTTTTGTCAGACCGAGTTGGGCTGGAGTTGAAATTCAGCCCGGGAGCTTGCTTTGAACAGGCCTTTTATCTGATCGCACGACGGATTCACGTGGAACCATAATTTTAACACAAATACGTTATTTACAGCATAAAAACACTGTTTTTTCAACAGTCAAAACTACTGTTTATGTTTGTATGTATTCAATGATACAAATAAAAAATACAAATCAGTTTAAAAGTGCATTAAACAAGCAGCTTATCATAAAATCAAAGCAAATATTAAGGAACAAAAAGCAACTTCCAAAGGTATACAGACGTGTAATATCATAACCTCTGCCCCAAACAAAAGGAAAGTGTCAGAACTTCCATGATTAACAAGTGCTCGAGCAGAACGCTGGTCTCTGCAACTCTGTCTATAACTGTATCATTGTCTAAAGTCATCAGGCCGCTCCTCCTCCTCTGCATCCTCCTCCTCACTCCTATGAATGACATTATCCTGTCCCTCTGCATCACCTCCTCGACTGACACTGGCCTTTTCAGCTAGTAACAACAGCAACAATGATACATTTTAGAGCACTTTTGCAAATAATTCAGTTTTATAAAACAAATACAACACAAGAAAAGCACTACAGACACACACACAGTATTATTTAGTACTTTAGTTACTAATGGTGTAACAATACTGACAGGCTTCCTTTAATGTTCTGTGTGCCCTGAACACATCCAGAAACCCAAACACTACAGTGGTCCCTCGCTACTTCACGGTTCGATTTTCGCAGACTCGCTCTATCGCGGTTTTTCAAAGTAAGATTTGACATGACGCACAATTGGCTAATTTATGGAGTCACACGGTCGACATGGATTTTTTATTTAAAATAAATTATTTGAAATTATTTACCACCTGTGTGCAGCCCACAGCAGTGGGAGAAGCTTCCTCCTGCAGCTGATCTCCGTGCACAGTGGAGAAGTGGGCGTGGCTGAGAGAGCAGCCGGAGGCAGAGAGCTGAAATCATGACATGCTGTGCTCTTTTAGAGCATTTGGAGTTTAGAAACATTGTTTAGAATATTGCAAGAGTGTGGGAAGGGTTTAAAACACCTTTACACACACA